GGAACCATATCAAAGAGTCAGTTCGCTGCGGTTTAGAGATTTTTATTTTTCGGTTCAGTTCGGTATTCAGGACTATTGAGACGGTTCGGTATGATTTGGTTCGGATCTTCGAAGATTTCTTAATTTTTAAATTTTTTTTGAATGACTACCTAATTATATTTTAATTTTTATATGCTTTAAAAAAACAACATTCATCAATAATTCATCATATCGAATATCTTATTTTCAAATCAATTTTAGAAGTAACTCTAAATTCTAGTTATTTAATTTTTATATGCTTTAATAAAACCAACATTCATCAATACTTCCTCATATTAAAGATTTTATTTTGAAATCAACTTTACAAGAGTGTGATTGGATATGAATCAACTAGGAGAAAACTAGTGGTTTTCTAACTATAATTAAGTTTGAATAAAAGTAGTATGGTTAGTTGTTAGTGGATATGTTAAAATAATATTTAAATTAGAATAATTAAAGTTGATTTGATGTAAAAGTAGAAAAATGATTGGAATTGATGGTTAGTTAAAATTATGTGAGTGGATGAATAGTGAATTAAAATTGATGTGATGTGTAATAATGATTGGTTGATATTATTTAATTATATTGATAATATTAGAGATAATGAAGTTGAGTTAAATTTGAGTTTTGAATGAGATATTTACTATACAAATCATATACAATCATGCCCCAAGTAACTCTACATTTTAGTTACGACTAAATTTGTGCAACTAATATTAAAAATTTAAAATTCAAACAAAATATAATATTATCTCTTACAAAAATATTCCTTAACCTTTCATATTATTTTAAATAATTATTTTATAATAGAAAAATTTCAATTGTCGATCAAGTATTATTAAGCATGAAATTTAAGTGAAGGTTAATATTTATTACTATATTATATAAGATCAAAATTGACATAAAATATATTAATAACATCTAATGTTATAATTCGATTCTTAATTTCAGTTCTTCGGTCCGGTACGGTATGAGAAAGTTCAGTTTGGTTCTTCGGTTCGGTACGGTATGGGAAAGTTTAGTTCGGTTCTCGGTATGGATATTTGTGAAATCCCATAACCGTACCAATTATTTTTTCGGTTCGGTTCGGAGAAAGTCAAACGGTCAACGGTTATCTTTCGGTTCGGTTTTTGAAACAGTTCAAAATCTCCGAGTCACATGCTCAGCCCTAATAGCGCAGCTAACATTCACAAGTTTCAGTTAGAGTCATCTACTGATAAAAAAATTAGGATGTATACTAATTTATATTTTTTATTTTACAAATGCAAAATTAGGAGTTGACCTGGAAGACGTTCACCTTAATTTGTTTGATAGATAAATTCGATTAGTGTTTGTAGTATTTTTGGGTATTGGTAACCGAGTTACCCGGCCTCGGGTCGTTCTCAAAAGAAGGCTCTTCGGAGCTTCGTTCACTATCTAGTCGCCAAATCACACAACCGAAAAGGTCCTAAACATTCTACTCGCAGTTTGAGGGTTTGAATTTAAACTAGATTAATCTACGAAATGAGAGCAATTGAAAGCAATTAACTAAGCACGCAAGAAGATGAGAGAAATAAAGGGGGAAAGAGGGATTTTGGTTCGCCGGAGTCTCTATGATCAATTGCACACAAATAACTGATTATTGCCATGCTAGCTAAAACCCTAGGTAGCTAAACCAAACTCTAGCACAAACGAGCAAGTATTTAACTCCTAGTCACACTTAGTCAAGCATTCACGATCCAAAGATTCGATATTTTCCTCTAAGCAACACAAGCACAATATCGATTTTCACAAAAGCAAACAAAGATATACGAAGTAATGAGGCTTAAGGCTAAGTACCCACTCTTACACGCACTTGGAAGGAGAAACAAAGTAAAAAACTCGAAACTTTACTCGAAACAATATCGCCGGAAATTCGCCGGAAAACTTGATTCATATGCTCCAAACCAAAATATAAAAAGAGAAAAAAGAAAATAGAGAGGATTTTCCCAACTTAAAATTTGGAAAATGAGGGTGATGTCAAAAAATACAAAGCAAAATGTCTATTTATAGCTACACCACAAATACACACTAAAAACACACACATTTAATGAAATTCTAAAGTTCGCGGGTCTCGAAACGGAGTTTGCAGCGAGTTTGGGCATGGAGTAGTGCAGAAATGATTGTTCGCGGGTCGCCAAACTATGTTCGCTAGCGAGTGTACTGATGGGAGCTGGGGCTATGCGCTTCGCGGCACGCGAACGCCCGTTCGCTGGCGAGTGCTCAGCTTGCTTGGTGTGAGGAGGCGTTTCGCAGCTCGCGAGTGAGAGCTCGCTAGCGAGTGCTGCTGCTGGGGTGATGTGCGTGCGCCCGTCTTTGCAGCTCGCCAATGTGCGTTCGCTGGTGAGTGGCGTTGTGCTTCTGATGCTCCTCTCGCGCGTCGCGGATGGAGGGTCGCTGGCGAGTTCGCGTGTTGGCTGGGCTTGTTGCTTGTGGTTGTTGAGTAGATTTTTGGGTATTGGTAACCGAGTTACCCGGCCTCGGGTCGTTCTCAAAGGAAGGCTCTTCGGAGCTTCGTTCACTACCTAGTCGTCAAAGTCACACAACCGAAAACAAGGTCCTAAACATGCTACTCGCTTGATTGGGGGATGATTGTTTGTTATGTTTTTGTGTGTTTTATTGTGTTTTTATTTGCTTGAGTCGAGTGTTTTTAGGTTCCGTTTGTGCATTTCGGTCCATTTTGCGTTCGTTTTTATTAGTTTTCTGTTTTTGAGTCATTTTCGTATTTTTCTCTACTTCTTTTGTGCGATTTGGTGTTTTGTAGGCTCGGAAGGAAAGAATTATAGTTCCGTGATATGACGTTCCGAGTGCGTAGTCGTGGAGCTCGTTGTTGAAATCGGAGTGTCGAAATTATAGTGTCAAAGTTTCAAAATGATCGGAGAATAGCGCGATGAGATGGAGCTTTAGAAGTCGAGCCATAGTCCCCGACTACATTTCGAGCCCGATTTCCAGCTTCATATTCCGTACCCGCGAGCTCAGTTTCGCAGCCACACAAAACTCGCGAGAAAGGTGACCTTCAGCAGCTAAAATTCGCGCCCGCGAATTTTCCCTTCAAGCCCGCGAGTCGCGCCTAGCTGTGAGTTCCACTTCAGCAGCCAAAATTCGCGCCTGCGAATTTTCCCTTCAAGCCCGCGAGTCGCGCCTAGCTGCGAGTTCCACTTCAGCAGCCAAAATTCGCGCCTGCGAAATCCCACGCCAAAGCTGCGAGTTCTGAGCCCGAACCTGCGAATTTCTTCAAAAAGCTGCGAGTTCTTTTTGATGCACGCCCATGCCTGCGAGTTTCAATGCCTAAGCTGCGAGTTCTCGTTCTTCATCCT